GTGACGTAGATTGTCCACCCTTGAAGTAGGAGAAACAAAAAACAGGGCTATGTAGCACTTTAAAGACTAACAAGATGGTTTATTAGGTGATGAGCTTTCATGGGCCAGACCCACTTCCTCAGATCAAATAGTGGAAGAAAATTGTCACAACCATATAGACCACAGGATACAATTAAAAAAATGAACACATATGAAAAGGACAAATCAAATTTCAGAACAGAAGGGCGATGGGGGGGAAGGTAAATTATAATAGATATTAGACAGGATCACAAAGAAAAAACAGTTTCTTGCCATTTCAACCAGAAAGGACATTGTCTCAACGACTTGATTACCTGCATCCTGCTTCAAAGACCTTTTAAGACTACACTTGAAAGAGAATCCTCTGAACTGTCATTCATGCTTAAATTCGACACTTTACACCTAAGCTTAAACAAAGACATTAATTATCTTACTCATTACGAAGATAGCTTCCCCAATTATCAGCTCTAATATCATTAGCTCACAGACATTTACCTTCCCCCCCATCGCCCTTCTGTTCTGAAATTTGATTTGTCCTTTTCATATGTGTTCATTTTTTTAATTGTATCCTTTGGTATATATGGTTGTGACAATTTTCTTCCACTATTTGATCTGAGGAAGTGGGTCTGGCCCACGAAAGCTCATCACCTAATAAACCATCTTGTTAGTCTTTAAAGTGCTACATAGTCCTGTTTTTTGTTTGCTACACCAGACTAACATGTCTACATTTCTATCACTATTCTTGAAGTAGGGGTTAGGGAAGTGGGTATAGTGATCCTGGGAGACCTGGTTTTCCCCTTACAACCCTGGTTCATGAAACCTTGCATGGGATACATGGATGGCAGTAAGGGGTGGTTCAGAAACAGGCTGATTGGGTGCCAGATGACAGTTAAATGTGCCTTGAGCAGATTAAAGGCAATGACAGTGCACCTTTAGGGCAGGTTAGAGCTTAATGAGGATAATATTCTCATGGTGATAGCTGTGTGCTGCATTTTGCATAATCTTTGTGATGCTCAGGGGTGGAGTGCTGAGGCAAAGTGCTTGGCTGCTGAATTGGAGCACCCAGATTCCTCAGTGGCAATTGAAATCAGAGGGTGCCTTTGAGGAAGCACTTTAATAATGAACAGCAGCAATGTGTATCTGTCAGAGTTGCTTCCGTGGTGCATTCCTTTTTTCCCCCTAGGGGTTGACAGTTGGGCCTGCATATCCCACTAAGAACATTATTAATATGCCTATATATGTAATTGTAGTGGTTGCAGTGTGAATTTGTAAAACACAAAATAGATGATTTAACATTATAGAACTTTGCCTTTATTAGTCAAGAAAAAAGCAAACTGACAATTTACCAAAATACAGGTGCTTCCTGGGAAAAGGCAGATCCTTACAACTCTGTGTAAGTGCAGCTATCGTTGTGAAAATTGTCAGAATGGGTGGAGAGAAGGGGAAACTGAGGAATCTCTGAAAGTGGAAAGGCATGTACAGGCAGATTGGGGTGGGGGAGCATGGCAAAGAATTGTGAATATGCTGTTTGCACATGCTCACTTTGCAGCATTATTGAAGTCTTGAGCATCTCTGTTCCTCCATTACTTTTATCATATGCTTAGTGGTATCCCTAGTAGATGCTCGATTCTCTTTCTGGACTGCCTTTGGCTTCCCAGCACTCCTTTCATTCTTTTATCTTTAGTGGAGCACTGCAGTACTTTGTGGAACATGTCTGCTTTGTTTCCTCTTGGTCTCTTTCTTATATGATGGAGTCGGTCAGCAGATGTTCCTGAAGGCCATATCTGATGAAACACAGGGGACAATGAACAGAAGCAGGATTGTTAAAGTCAAGCACAGCGTTGAAGTATTTTACTTATATGTACTTTTTGCAACGTGCCAATCTCTTTCTTAGTGACCCTGCCAGGCACACATCTCTTCAAGCTACCAAACCATGGTGACTGTTGGTGGGGCCAGAGGAGGCTGCACATGGACAAAAGAACCTACAGAAGTAGGTTGCAGGGGATGGGGAGCAGCTTTAAAGGGCACTTATCTCACACTTTTCCACAGAGAGGAATCATACTAGCAGACATCTCATTGCTGGGGGTAAGCAGGGAAATCAAGGTACAAGTACTGCATGCTTGTGGCTTTTGCCCTGTTCTGTATGTGGCACATCTATGAGCCGCTTTGGTCCCTGGACAGGTGATTGCAGAATGGCACTGTACAGTGCCCAACAATGGAGAAAGTAACAGAGCTGCTCTGTCATAGAACTTGCAGCAGAGGATTAATGAGTATCTCCAGGAAAGTTTCCTGGAGAGCTCTCTAGAGGCTTTTTGTGAGATCTCAATGTGCATCAACATCCTGTTCTGCCATACTGATTAGCTAAACAGGGAAATGTTCAGCTCACGGAAACATAGCCAGCCTCCTTCTTTTCTATGTCCTAAACCCACCTCCGGACTACACAAGCCACAGCCACTTACCATATGTCTTGTTTCCTACTTCCTGCTCCTCAGATATCAGCTACAGAGACTGGCTAAGCACCTTAGGGGTATGTCTAGACTACAGCCATGTAGATTTGTTTTTTTGGCAAAGGCAAATGAAGCCGCGATGTAAATGATCGCGGCTTCATTTAAATTTACATGGCTGCCGCGCTGAGCCAACAAACAGCTGATCATCTGTTTGTCCGCTCAGCGCGCTAGTCTGGACGCTCCCCTGCTGACATCAAAGCCCTTTGTCAGCAGCCACGGTAAACCTCGTCC